AAGAAGGGCTGCTTATGCACAGGGAGACAGCTCAGGGGGCAGGAGTGCATGGAGGGATGGACACAGGGAAGAGGTAACTATTGGGAGGAAGTGGGAGGGGAGCTGTTGCATTGTGGTAAACTGTGGTCAATGTCATGAGACAAAGTATATGTGAACTGCTGCATGGAAAGTAAATTTGCTCTGTAAACCTTCACCCAAATCACAATTTAGAAAAATAAAATAAAATTACACATTAAAAAAAAGGAATAAACTCCTGTTTGTTAAAGCCATTCCCATTTGTGGTATATTCCTGTTAGAGCAGCACTAGGTAGCTAGAACAATTCTCTATTGTCCCTCTATTTCTTTTATAATCAGAAAAGTTGGAGCTTTGTGAAAGAAACACCTGTGCCTATTCCATCTCAAGATTCTACTCTGAATCTCTAAACCTTTAGTACAGAAACTTACTCTTTACTAGTGAGGTCATACTGTCTTGGTTTGTGCTTGTTTTGTTTGGCTTATCTCTCTTTCAGGCTGTAGAAATTTTGAGGAGAAACAATGAAATTAATAATTTTTGCAACATTATTATCACTGAGCATGCTACCTAACTACTTTGCTTTCATTTTCCGTTTTAATTCTCACAATAGCTAAATGTGGTAAATATTAACATTAGTATTTTTATAAGAGGAATCAGAGACCAAGTTGTGTTAAGTAACATACCAGTGAATACATAGCTAGTAAGTGACGGAGCCAAGATGAAGTCCAAGTCCATGTCATTTCAACAGCACACATTTGTCAGTCTACTACACTGTCATGGATAATTTACCTTTATGGTCTGGGGTAGGTTCTGGAAACCATTTTAGAAATAAATATCTAGCTATTATTTCACAGACAAATGAGCAACAGCTCACTGTGTCTCAAATAGTCTCTCCTCCCATTTCTATGCCATTCCCTCCATTTTCTCAATTTTTCCACTCAGGGGACCAACTCCAAATATAATATGGTTCCAAGAGGAAGTTGAAATATTCTTCTGGTAGTGACACAGGCATCAAGGACTATGTCTAATAAAATGGGTAATTCCAGTTCTTAGTGTCCGATCTCGCTCCTCGTTAGGTCTGAAATGAGTGATGTTGATATATATATATATCAGAAATGTGTATATATCAGGATATATATATATATCCTGGAATGTATGTGAACCCTTTTCTCATTCTGCTCCCCACTCCACCCCCATCTTACCCCTTATCATCTGTCTCAGTCATTATCATAGGCCAAAACCTTGATCTGAGATTCACTCTGGATCTGAGATCCAGAAATCTCTCTGAATTGGAGGCTCAAGAACAAAAACCAGTTCTGAATCTGTTGCTCAGTAGAGAGTTCCCAACAAACCAACAACCATACTCTAGGGTTTTCCGCAGAACTGGATCTTCTAGGGTTTTCCACATTTCCACAGCAACTGGTTTGCCTGCAAATGCTCTGAATAATACAAAGCCCTAATGAACCTGGATATTTCTGTTTAATCCCAAAGCTTATAAGATGCATTCAACATTCAGATATTTCAGGATGGAAGAATAACATATATTCATTCCCCCAGCCTCTGTAAAAAACTGGATCAGACACTGAAAATTCCACTAAGATCCATCCATTAGTTTACTGTATTCAGAAAAAAATCATTTTGGAGAAACCTAAAGCAATACATACATATATAGGAGGTGCCCTTTGGAATGCTCGGAAGGTTCCATATCAGAGAAAGGATCCCATGGAATCTATTCCAGAGGCATTGCAGGATGGTAAAATAGAGGGAAAACAGATACAGGAAGGGACAATAGAGAGGTAAGTTCAATAAATGTAACAGTATGGAGAGATTAGGGGAGGTATCACCACTCTTGAAGGGGAAGTTCGGGCTGGAAAATGCTGAAGAATTGTTGTCTTCACTGAGGTGAATAACTGGAGTATTGCTGACTTTGCAAATCTATTAAAGCTGAAATTTCTTCATTGATCTTTTCTCTTAAGATAGGCCATAACCTCTAGCAGGATACACATAGTTACTAAAGAGTTAAGGATGAATATTTTGACTTCTTTCCTTCAGATTCCTTCCTTTTCTTCCTTAATCTTTTGACTTTGGAAAAGTTTCTTAGTAACATCTGACCTCTAGTAAATGTAACTCATCCAACATGAATAGTTATACCCTACTTTCCAAGTGAGCGTGAATGAACAGGTCACATTTTATCTTCTTTTAGAACATCCAACACCGCTTCTCAGACTAGCATCGGATGTCATGGGATTTCTATTTTGTGAAATAAGTCTATCCTAACAGCAAAAGAGCCAGCTCTGGAAATGCCACCAAGCTGAAAACTTGCTTTAGGAAACACAAGCCAGGAAGTACCCAAATCTTGCAGCTGACTTTCCTAGACCATCGGACTTGGTATTCTAATGTGAAACAATGGTATAGGCATGGGGGATAATTTACAAGACTTAAGTTGTGATTGAGGTACACATCTATGGAAAAGGATGAAGGACTGTCAAGTTTTGGTATGCTGGATGATACCCATGTCTAACTCTGTCCTAGGAAAGTAAATCAAGAACCAGAGCTTTGCCTACCATTTTCCTTAAAGGCACAGCAAGTCCTTTCTCCCACTGTTTTCCCCTCATTCAGAGAATTCCATGTATGCCTTCCTATGACCAAATCAAACCCACCTCACAGAGGCCCACGGTGTTCAACAGCATTGCCTTTGCGCGTGCCCTTGATGATGAGGATGGTACCAACAGTGATGCCCACCAGACCCACAACAAGGCCCAGGATGCACACCAGAGTCTCTGTCGTCTCTGGGAGAGGGGTTGGCATTTCTAACTCTGAGGAAAAATAAAAGAGAGTATAGGGTAATGAATAGTGATAGGAAGTAACACTTAGTAGCAAATATAAGTTATATAGTCAAGAGACTAGTTATTATTAGACTGAAGAAGAAGAAAATAGAATAATGTATGAAAGAATTGCAGACTAGATAGTGAGAAAGGCTGAATAATGGCAGAAGGCAAGAGGTATGGATTTTACCAGATTGTACAAAGCAGTTAGGGCACTCCAGGTCCCAAGTGACAAGATACATACATCCTCTGAGAAAATCATGAAACAAAGGTGACTGGAGGATGGTTCATACCCCAGTGTTTGAGGAGAGGCTTGTCAAGACCCGAGTGATCCACCTGGCAGTCATAGAAGTCATCTGTTGAGGGCAGGAAGGGGAGATAGTAGAATTTGCGGAAAAGGTGGTCTTCTCTAGGCAGGAAGACTGTCTCTGACACACCTGTGGTGACAGGTTTTCCATTTTTAAGCCATGTGACATTGAGCACTGGTGGGGTGAATTTGTCAACAAAACAGATGAGGACGTTGGGCTGTCCAACTTCTGCAGGACTATTCACAAGCAGTGTCACCTCTGGAGATTCTGAGGGAGTGAGCACACGACAGAAATTAGGCTTCCATGCTGAGGCTGGTCCCTTCCTCTCCCTCACTGAATTGTAGGCCAAACCTATGCTAACAGAGCTGCTGAGATTGTGCCCTCATGCCTCTATGCCAGTCTTAGATATCTATCTCTGACACTTTCACCCTGAAATTTGAACCAATATTGAGGTGTAAGATACCCAAGGTATAAGATATTCCTGGCTCTTCCAGCATGGATTCAGGGTAGTTAGTGACTTTTGGGAGTGGCTGTGGATAGCAGAGAAAAGACATGAGTACTTAAAGGAAGAAACAAACCCATTTAGCCTGTGGCATGGTAATTTTGGCCTTACTTATGACAAATTTGTTCTTGTTGTTGTTAGTTGCTGTCAAGTTGATTCCAAATCATGCTGACCCCATGTAACCCTTTAGGGAAAGTCAGTCACAATACTAGGCTTTAAAGAGTTGAAGCATTATTTTAAAGCTACAGGTTCCATGTGTAGGAGAACAGCAGAGAGAGGTACCATTGACAATCGGTGTGTAGTTGGAGCGTTTCATCATGATGTCCAGGTTGGCTTTGTCCACAACAATGTTGGCCAAGGCACCCTGAGCCTCAAAGCTGGCAAAATGTCCAAATTCTTCAAGTCGCCAGACTGTCTACTTCTTTTCCATATTCACATGGAAAATCTTGTCACCATCAAAGTCAAACATAAACTCGCCTGATTGGTCTGGGTCTGATAGAACTCAGCCTGGATGATCACGTGATCCTCTGAAAAGGCAAGAAAGGGAGTCAGAGTGGGAATCGGGAGAGAGAGATGAGGAAGAACCCAGGGCGTGAGATACATCCATGTGGACGGGAGGTGATGGGGGGCACGGGGCCCAGTGGAATAGAGGAATGATGACACTAGGACTGAGTTTGGAAAGACGAGGCCTGAGTGAAGGACATGCTTGTTGAATAGTGCTGAAGAGGAGATAGAAGGGGTTGAGTTAGAGAGGATGTGATTGAAGGTGATGAGGGCTAAACAGCCAAGAGTCTTATGAAGCCGTTGTTTGGCTCTATGCTACTAGCTAAGAAATAAAACTCTTTTTTAAAAATCCAGCAGGGGTCCCCCAAAGAGAAATGCTCTCTCACTCTTTTCATTGAGGCTTTAAATATACTCCTAGGTCAGAGTTCCAGGGCATGTCTTTCTTAGAAATATACTCTAAGAAGAAGGAAACACTGTTTAAAAGATTGAGTTTATTCAATTTTCAATTCTGGAATCAAGTCAAATCTTGAATTCTTATTCAGCTACTTACTTGCTGAGCCATCCTGAGTAAAATAGTCTATCTATTTAAGTGTAGTTTTCTGATTATAATTCTGTCATGGCTTGCTTCTTCCATAGGTTTGTTTTGAAGGTTAAGTGAGAGAAGGGAAGTAATTTACTAGTATATATCAGGTCTACAAGAATCACTGTTCACTATTTAGAGTCAGAGGCTGCTTAAGAAAAAATATAGCTGGAGCCTGAAATACCCAGAAAGCTATGATTGAGACCTTGTGGTGTTGTAGAACACCTAGATCTATACCACATCATAGATACCTCTATGAGAAGAATTACGTTTGGATTGACCTAAACAATGCATTTTTTAAATTGTGATTTGGGTGAAAGTTTTCAGAGCTAAGTCATTTTCCATACAGCAGTTCACATACACTTTGTCTCATGGCATTGACTACAATTTACCACAATGCAACAGCTCCCCTCCCATTTCCTCCGCACAGTTACCACTTCCCTTCCATAGTTCTTCCTTCCTATGCATTCTTGCCCCCCTTGCTGTCTCCCTCTGCATATACAGCCCTTCTACTCTCCTGTGATTGATCTCTCCAAAGTGTGTATCTGTCTAATGTAAACTGTCAGCTCATATGCCTGTCTTTTGTTTGGCTGGCAGCCACAGGAGTGGGTTTAATTCCAGACCTGAAGGGCAGCTAGGGGCCATATCTCAGGGGTTCTACCAAGCTCTAACAGACCAGCAAACCTGGTCATTTTGTTTGTTTGTTATGATTTTGAGTTTTGTTTCACATTGTTCTTCCACTCTATCCAGGCTCTCCTACAAAGATCCCCCTCCTAGTGGTTGACAGGGGTAGTTGGGCACCATCTAGTTCTTTTGGTCTCATAGTCATATAGGCTGAGGATCACATGGTCTACTAGTCACTTGGACTAATTGTTTCCATGTGTCTTTGGTTTTCTTCATTCTTCTTTGCTCTGGATGAGGACAGACCCATCGTTGCATCTAGATGGCAGCTTCAGCAATACATTTTTATATCTTAATCCTATTTAGATTGTGAGTATCATTATGGGACATACTGTATTCTGTTAGAGTTGATACTGAGACTATTCAACACCAAAGGAATAATTAACTTGAAAATAAAAAACTACAATTAAGAGTATTAATGCTATGGTTGCAGGGAACATCAAAATCAATTGGAATAAACAACTGAGGAATGGATAACCAAACTTTGGTACATTCACACAATGGAATACTATGCAATGCTAAAGAATAATGTAGAATCTGCAAAACACCGCA